AGTCACCCAGGTAAATTCCTCATGAATTACTCACTCTGGGCCTCAATGAGAACTCAAAGGTGTGGTTCTGGCTAAATCTTAAGGACCTCTCGGCAATAATGTCTCACGTACCTAAGAGAAAATACTAAGATTTCTTACATAAGAGAAAATATGAAGATTTATTTCAGTCATGTTTTTATTATACTTTGTCCCAATTTTCCTACCTTCCTAGGGTATGCAACAGTAAGAGTACACCTAAGAGACAGCACTGATTCTTAGGACAGGCAAATACAGTGGAAAAACAGGCAGTCTGAAAAGAAGCATATGCCCCATACTTGAACGCACATCTCCATTCAGGACTACTGTGGAACTCACTCAGGAAATGGAACTGAAGAGTTTAGGCCTCTGGACTGTTAGAAATCAAGTATTCATAAAGCATTTTCAACAGTGTATACACTTTGAAAAAATGCAACTGGAATCTAATGAAAGAGAACTTAACCTATATTTTCAGAAATTATGATTCTGATTCATTTCACCCTAAACTGAAATGGTAATATATACTAATCTTACTCAAGTCTGCTTCACACACGCCTTGTTTAGCCATACTAGTTTTTTTTTTCTTTTGCTTTTGAATATAGGGTCTCATTCTGTCACCTGGGCTACAGTGCAGTGGTGCAAACAGCTCACTGCAGCCTCGACCTCCCTGGCTCAACAATCTTCTCACCTTAGCCTCCCAAGCAGCTGGTACCACAGGTGCGCACCACCATGCTCAATTAATTTTTTCTTGTCTTTCATATGTAGAGACGGGGTCTCCTTATGTTGCCCAGGCTAGTCTTGAACTCCTGGGCTCAAGTGATCCTCTTGCCTCATCCTCTCTAAATGTTAGGATTACAGGCCTGAGTCACTGCCCGTACCCTATACTAGTTTCAATACATACACAAGTATTAACAAGTAATGAAATAAAGCAAAATGGTTTCTCCCAAAAAAAGAAAACAAAGTTTTGATATATGCCAATAAAAAAAAAGTTACTATCAATTTTTTTTGGCATAGAAACTATAAAACTATACTTCTCTCAAAAGAAGCTGATCTTTCTGAATAATTATAAATATACATATAAAAATTAGTAAGATTTAACTAAAAGCCAGTTGAGTAAATTTTGAGAACATCTTAAAACCATTTACTTAGAAATAAATAATTTCACTTAAATGTAATAGTACCAATCAGAACATAAAATAAAGCAGTATGATAAGTCACCAGGAAATCTGAGGTAATTTAATTGACTCCTCCAACACATGTGGTGGGACTACAGGAAATAAAATTATAGACCCTTAAGAAATGAACATGCCATTTGAAATAATCACCACATATAAAATTTTAAGTCATCTGCTAAAAATTTTTTCACGATTTCTGCAGTTTAATTTTGAAAAGAAAAAGGTTTGTATGAGAAACACTGGGAAAAGAAATTAATTTACCTCTAATAGCACAGTTTCTTTAGGAAAAGAGAAAAGTTAGAAAACTGATGTAATGTTTCCATGGAAATGCTGATTAAAAAAATACCTGTTCTCTCAGATTTTAATAGATTCCTTTTAGCAACAGTATTAAAAATATGAATGTTGTATGGGATGAGAGGGAAGGTGCTGCCAAGGGAATCTGAAGAAAATACAAATCATCTCAAAGTTAACTTTTTCTGTTATGAGTATTAACGCTGATTACAAAGTCAAAAGCTGCCTTGAGTATTATTTGGTTTTATTTTGTGTCATAAATCTCATCATAATTTTCATATTCTTACTAAATGATAGATTTAAGTGATACAATATCATATTTCATTAAAGCAAATATTTATAATATTTTCTGTAATACATCAGCAAACAAAATCAACAGTAAAAATGAAGGGTGATTTAATAAATCAGACATTGGTTATAATGTGAGAAAATATGAGAGGCTAAATGGAAAAATGGGAATTTATTTCTTCTGGATTGACAGTAGCTGACTACATTTAAATACAGAATACAGTTTTTTTGATAAAGGAGGGAAAAATGGACACCCACACAACAGTTAAGGATGGTTGCTTTCAGTGCCATTTATACTACATTCAGTATTTTCATGCGATCACTTGTGACGTAAACACAGTACAGCAAAGTATATATATCTGTCACATACCTACGTTAATATCTCCAGGCATACAAATTGGGCCTGACCCAGAATGTGTCTGAACTCAGTATGGGAGTCAGAAAATTTTAACAGACCAACATTATATTTGGTTTTGACTAAAATTAGAGGTACAAGTGTTTTCACTTCAACATTAAAAACAATATTCTAAATGAGTATGCAACATCTGTTTCCAGTATCCTCTAACAGAAAATGCTCATGAACAATAACCTTACATCACTGCAGAAGCTGCTTTAACACTTAATAGCTGGGTGTTATTTCTAAGTAACATGGCACATTATTACATTATTTCAGGTCCTTATAAGTGAAGTTAAAGCTCAAACTGAAGTCTCACCTTTGACAATTTAACACACTTCAATTATCTCCAGAACCTCATTATATGCAGTGAGAGCCCTTCCTGTCCCTGTTAGATAACCCCACTATACCAATCATAAGGAATTCTTTTGCTTATCGCCAGTGCTGCTTAGACTGATCATCCATACCTTTACTCCAGCCAACTGGTTGTGCTGGTTTTACCTGTGGGCTATCTCAGATTTGCAAATCTGCACTAGGCCAGGCTACAGCAAGGGCTTTCTGGTATAATCCTACAAAAGCATTTCCCACTCAATTTAAAGATCATTGTGAGTTGCCCAAACTAAAGTGCTGGTCAAATCAATTGAAGATAATCTTGGGTTTGGCATATCCATAAGGCATAATATATAAGTTGTAAAAAGTAGATTTCTTGATAAGTAAGATTAGGCTGCCAATCAAGGTCATGTGAATAATCCAAAATGTCAATGCTAATGACTTTTTCACTTCTGCATCTATGCATGTATCTTATCTGTTGTTTATGAAACTGATATGGCTTAAACATATTTTTCATATTTTAGTAACATATTAATGCTTGCTCCCACAGGGGCATATACAGTTTTCTGTTGTCTGAACCATGACATTAGGCTACAATCATTCTAAGCAATGCAAATTTCTGTCAGTTTATATATCTTCAAACTGGCATCATGACAAATATTAGATGCAAACTTACCACTTAGATATGGTTAATCTGTAACTGAGTTTCAAATGACAGATATCCTAAAATACCAGAGTATTATTACTCTAGTATATTGGACCAGAATACAACATACAAAAAATAAAGTTGGACATGTTTTCATGCATAATAAGTTTTAAAAGCTGAACTTGTTCATGAAACGGGGGGGGGGGGAATCTAATACAGAATTAAGGACAAACAGAGAAGCTATGGCATTATCCCATAATATTCTAAATAGTTTTCTCACAGATTAAGTAAAAAATCTTTATAGGTATTAGAAGTTTTATTAATACTTTGTGAATTATCAACAATAGCTGTTTCACTTTCAATTTCTAAAGGTCAAACTACATCAGAATAAAGATATTCCAATTATTTCCTTGACTAAAATGTAAATTACCATGAAATAAAACAGACCACAAGTCACTATCACATTCTCAATCACATGTCTGCTTTTGAAGAGAGGAAAAGACAGGACAGGGTTTCCTAAGCAGTCCTCACTTGCTGTGGAAGGAGGGGAGTGGTGGAGGGGAGTGGCCTGTGTTTTCCCCACACCCTACCTGCACTCAATTCCTCCTCCATTCGGCCACAAAAGCAAATCAGAACTTCCTTCCAATTTGTCTCTAAAGCAAGACTTTCTTCAAGATATTTTTCAAAGTTTGAAGGAAAAACAGGTTTCTCTTTTAGGATTCACAATAATTCTTTCAAAGTTCACTATTACCAGCATCAAAGTACCCATATTCCTTATTAAAAACCCACAGAAAAAGTAATAGGGGATCTCCCATCCAAGTACTAACCAAGGTCAACCCTGCTTAGCTTCTGAGATCAGACAAGATCAGGTGCATTTAGGGTGGTATGGCCATAGACTAGAAAAAGTAATAGGAAATGTGAATGTGTCTCTTCAGCATATCCCAACTTTTGATAATTTACTCCTTTGCATACCTATAAATCACATTTCAAAAATGAATCATAAAAACAAACACTTCTATAAAACATAAAGAGAAAAGTCACTAGAGTTCCAAGCAGCTGGGAAAGACAGATTAATAAGAGTGGTCCTTTGTGCTTTCAAAAAGACAAAAAGTAAATAAATGTGTTCTGTACTCTTCTTGAACTAAACTTTACCTTACCAGATACAGAAAAAAATTAACCAGGTTGAAGGTATCTTGCTATCATGAATTCTCGTGCTACATGACCAGTTCTATTTAAATCCAGAGTAATTACAATGGATATCTTGGAATTTCGAGATTCTGGGCAGCTTTCCCCGAGAATTGCACACTTAGTAAGAGAGGCCTAGCATACCTAGCAGTTTTCCCTAAGAATTGCACATTTAGATAGTAAGAGAGGCCTAGCACATGTACTGGTGAAGGATAAAGTTATACGCTGACAAGTTTCCACAGCTTAGTGGAACGCTTACATTACTAGGCCATTATTGACTGCTCATTGAATGAATGACAGAAAGAAGAAACAAATCTTATCAAATAAAGTCTAGAGGCTAACATGACTAAGGTAGGGAGGATCCACTCAAGACTGCAGGTATCCTCCCTATTTTCATGAAATCTGTCCATTTCAAAAACATTAATGAACCTATATTTAAATGGGGACCTGTAAAGTTTGAATCTCTAATGTTCAAAGAGTTAAAAGGACTAAGCTGGTCCTTGGAAAGCAGTTGCAGACCAAATCCAAACTATTTGAGAAAGCTTATATATATTGACCAAATGCCCATTTAAAAATCTTTAATGATAAAGATAACCAATGAGCTACTTTTTTTCCAGTGGTTAAAGTAGCAGCAATACATATGATTAATTACATGGTTATAATCATATTTACTCACCCTCCTAATAGTATCTGTGGCTGGTTGGATTCATTTGTTATACCAAAAATATCAGGAATTAGATCACCATTGAAACTGAAAAAAAATTAAAACAATAAGCTGCTATTTCATTAAATTCCCACTTCTAATTTAGCTTTAACAGTAACTTTGGGAAGTGTGGTAGACATTACAATGCTCACCAGTATCTAGGGATAAGTAATAGGTCAAATGTCAGCACAAGTGACATGTATCACTTCTAGGCCAAAGGGCATAATTTGTTATCGGCCTCTTCAGCCCTCTCCAGGCTTGCCATGGGAATGAGAAGAATTTGTGATTTAGATGGACCAGCTACAAAAACAGTGGGGTCTCTGATGGGCTGATTCTAAGCAACAGCACAGGGTAGAGCCTATTGTTGACCCACATTGGACATACAGTGAGAGCAAGAAATAAATTTATTTTGTGAGATTTTGGGTATGTCTGTAATCTTTGCATAATTTAACCTATTCTTGAATGATAAGGATACAGCACTAATTCCTAGAAACTTATTTCAGAATCACAGGCCAACTAATTTATTTACATGGGCTTAGGAGAAATAACTCAGAAAAATAATCCTAGTTGGTATAAAACTTCATACTGGCCATTGAATATTTTAACAACAATGAAAAAAATACACAACTATGAAAGAAACCTAGCTGGGCACCATTAAGAAGATGAATCCATAGATTTACTGTTCAGACTTCTAATGGCCACTGAAACATTGCTGTATGGGCATGATTTTAATAACTGTAAGAAAGGCCGTACTGGAAACAAGAATATAGCCAAACTTTGCTCTAGTCCCGGGAATGATTTCTACTTCTACCAAAATACGCTGTCAGGAATTTGGATTTAAATTACCCTGATACACGAGTCTATACTGAGAATATAAATGATAATGCAAAGGAGGAGTTATATTATAAAAAGAACAAAAATTTCTCCTAAATATAGGAAACTTTCTAAACTTCTGGAGGAAACTGTATCCTACATATCAAGCATAACAGTTTTACTCAAAAACAGGTATCTTAATTCTTTCAGTAATGACAGCATAGATCTATAATGGACATATCTGAGGCTACTGAAACAAAAACACAAATCTCTTCTTCTTTCCAAAATAATAAATTTCATTTTTCTTTTTCCTATTGGATGGCAAATAAATACAATATAATCAAGGGTACAGGCCTCTGAGTGAATTTAGTGTTTATATTACTTAGCAAAGTAGTTTCCTATGTGAAGATTTTACGTTTAAGTTTGAAATCATTTCAAAGGAAGCAAGCACATACTTACTCCATAATTAGTGGCTGATCTTGAAAAGTTCTATTGAGTATGGTCATATTGTTAGGATCTGCAAAAAGATATATATACACACAGAAATTGGCAGGAATTTTATATTACTTTTGATATCTACACTTAGGAAAAAATACTCTTCTACTCTTTTCAAGATTTATCTCTGACTCATTCCAACTATTATCATAAACGAGATACTATAAAGCTAGTTAGAATAAACATCAAACTTGTGAAGACAAAATATTGGGAGAGTATATTCTATAGTGAAGACGAGCATTACAATAATTTCCTTTTAAGGTACGCATGTAAATATTTCCTAACTGAGTCTTTGTATTTACACAATTCAGTACTAGAGCAGCTGACAACAGGGTTTTGGTATAAAGAAGGCAATATACGTAAAACTTCCTGGCTCTAAAATGTCCATGCTTACATATAAGCAGTACTTTGTACATGGTACTCCTTCTGTAAATACTTATTGACTCAATGAATATAATGTATTGAGATTACTGTTTACATTCACAAATGGTGCAGAGAACATGACTGAAATTTTGCTTCATGAACAAAGTTGCCTATTCAGGTATAACTAATAGGCTTTTCAGATAAGCCTTGACGGTTTGTGACTAGATATGATAGACTGACTCTCAAACTATACTTCAACTTTTCTGTGCTTTCCTGTGCTGAGGAGAGTAGAAACCAAAAATAGCATTTTCTACATATCCTTGCATCTGAGATGCTGAATAAAAGTTAAACCTTGCCAATCAGATACACTCTGAGTCTTAAAGGCATGAATGAGGCAAAGGCTGTTTCTCTGCTATTTCTATCTGTGTCTGCTCACTGAATTTGGGAGTATCAAGAGACAAGGTGCAGCATTCATTTTGCTAGTGAGAATCACTGCAAGCATAGCATCATTCTGGCAGCAGCTGTGTAACTGGCCACTTCAGATAGGTGAAAGAGGTGGTAGCTTTTTGGATGATACTGGGATTGCTCCTGAAAGCTCAACCTAGAGTTTATTCTTTAGCCATCCCAATAGTTCTGCAAGCCATTAAAACCCTTTAATAAATCTCTGTCCTCTTTAAGCTAGTAAGAGTGAAGTTTGCCTGTAGAACTGACCCGTACCCAGTTCAGAGTTGAAAAAGAAAAATCGGGAAATAAACTTTGAAAAAATATTTTACAATTACTGACACCCAAGAACAGTATTTTTGAACTGATTTCAGAACAATATTTTGTTACATTTACCTTCATATTCAATGATAAATATTAAAAACTCTTAAAACAAATTCACCTAATGTTTGATTTTGTCCCCAGAAGATAACAGCTCCTAAATCACTCTTGGCATGATTTTTGGGAATATATGTCAGAAGGACATCCATTTGTGAATCTCCATCATAATCCCCAGGGACTACACTTGTTATCAATGCACTGTGATTCCTAAAAGAAACGAGCATTTACAAATATCAGACAAGTTGTAATGGAAAAGGACATCTCTATATTTTTACCATACAAAAATATTTTCAATATAAAACTTTAAAAGTTTCACATAACTGACTGATCGCCTTCTCTTTCCTATCTTTTCATCCCTCATATATTTAGACCTCTTTAGTCTACAAGAGTTCAAAATGAATGCAGAATAGTCTCAAGAAACAAGACAAATCTGAAATATGTGGAGAGAAAACTTGTTTATTATGTTCAAGCATTGGCTAGTACAGTTCCTTTGTGAAGGACACCAAGACGTTTGGATGGTGTTTCTAACAAATGGAGGCTCAAACTGGCAAAGCAGCAAGAAACATTGCTGGGATTTTTTTCAATTAAAAGATATTATTTATAAAATATTTGGTTTGGATTTTAATATAAATTCAAAATATACAGTAAAAATTAAAAAAAAAATTTCTTTTTGAAAGCTAGTAATTTAAGAATGGAAATTTTTTTGTTTTGTTTTGTTTATTTATTTTTTAAGAATGGAATTTTTTAAACCAAATTTGGCAATCAATACGGCATCCAAACATATACCTAATTTTATATATTTTTTAATGTTTTCCCTTTTCACAGGTATTGATATATTTTATCAATAAAATAATTCTAAAATTATTTATATGAATCTTGAAAACTTAACATCCTGGTGTCTTGTTTGAGTGACCCAAGCAAAAATTAGCCCTTAAATTCATTTTATATTTAATTCTACTTAGAACGAATAGCAAAACAGCAAATTTCCAAATAGACTATAGATAATTATTTTCTGAATGCATCAGTGGTCAGTCCTTACTCCCTCTCACTCAGCAAGGTAAGAACCAAGTGGTGTATTTCTGGAAAGCCTCAGGAATTAAGGATTTAAGTTACAGTAATGGGTAAGCCTTTGGCCTTAAGCTAAAAATAGCACTTAACCAAAATCAACAAAAGGAATAATTTAACCCTTGCCCACAGCTCCACTCTACTTCTAGAATGTTAGTTTGTCAAGAATATACTTGCAGGGCAAAAGACAGTAGACAAGTCCTACTAGGCAATGCATTCCCAATGATTTCTTTAGCATCTTACTTGGAAATATGAGTAGACACCTGCCTTCTAAAGAAAACTTTGACTATTAAAGAGAGCTAAAACAAATAACAATAAGGAACCTGAAGAAAACAGAGCTAATGCAACAAAAGAAAACTTCAAAATTACACTTAAGAAAGCCTGCCTATTAAAAAAAACACAACAACAGTATGCTAAAGACAATATCAGTAAGAAAATAAACAAAAAACTCGGAAATTAAAAATGTGACACCTGGCTGGGAGTGCTAGTTCACGCCTGTAATCCCAGCACTTCAGGAGGTGGAGGTAGGCGGATCACTTGAGGTCAGGTGTTTGAGACCAGCCTGACCAACATGGTGAAACCTCGTTGGTATTAAAAATACAAAAAATATTCCTTGGAACAGCTAACAGAGTTGGGAAAAAAAAATACAAAAAATAGCCAGGCATGGTGGTGTGCATCTCTAATCCTAGCTACTCAGGAGGCTGAGGCAGGAGAATCGCTTGAACCCAGGAGGTGGAGATTGCAATGAGCCAAGATTGTGCCACTGCACTCTAGCCTGGGCAAAAGAGTGAGACTCCGTCTCAAAAAAAAAAATGGACTTAGAAGATAAAGTTGAGAAAACCTCCTGCAAAGGAAAATGAAACAAAATGATTAAAAAAAAAACAACAGATAAGATAAAGGAAAAAAGGATGAACCCAGGCAGACTAACAATCCACTGATAGGAATTCCTGAAAAAAACAAAAAAAATTTTCAAGGAAATATTTAATAACATAAGAGTTGTTTCAAAAAGCCTCCAAGGATAGAGGCCTCTAGCTTGAAAGGGCCCACATAATGCCTAGCATAATAAGTAAAAAATAATCATTCCTGTAATTGCAGTACTGGAAGGTGAAGGTGGGAGGACAGCTTGAGCCCAGGATTATGTGGCTACCGTGAGCTATGATTTTGTCACTGTACTCTTTTGTCACCTGGTGACACAGAAAGACCCTGGCTCTATAAAAAGAGAAAAACAAATCTACACCAAGCCACATAATCATGAAATGAGAACAAAATGGAAAAAGAAAAGACTCCAATAGCTTCCAAAATTAAAACAATTTACATTTGAAAGATTAGGAGAAAAAATAGGATTGAATCTTAAAACAGTAACCCATGAAGCTAGACCACAATAAGCTAAAGTGTTCAGACTGCGTAGCAAAAGCTTTTGCACATGACAGGACTCATCATGCATCCTTTCTCAGGAATCTCCTAAAGCATGCACCCCTGTGAAGTAAATGAGGAAATTTCTTTTTTAAACTGTGATAGAATAATCCTGCAAAAGGCGTGGAGAATGAATCCAGACTGAATAGGAATGTACCAGATCCAATGGGAAAAAAAATGCATGATAGGTATATGGCTAATATGAGGGAATATCTGCAAAGAATTAAGGATACGTACATAGAAAACTATGCAATTGATTTTTTAAAAAGCAATAATTTACTCCAGTAGGGCAAGCTACACAAAAAATGAAATACTATCCCAGCACTTTGGGAGGCCAAGGTGGGTGGATCACCTAGGTTGGGAGTTTAAGACCAGCCTGGCCAACATGGTGAAACCCCATCTCTACTAAAAATACAAAAAATTAGCCAGGCGTGGTGGCAGGCGCCTGTAATCACAGCTACTTAGGAGACTGAGGTGGGAGAATCACTTGAACCCAGGAGATGGAGGCTGCAGTAAGCCGAGATCGCGCCACTGCACTCCAGCTGGGGCAACAAGAGTGAGACTCTGTCTGAAAAAAAAGAAATATTGTACACTACTTGGTTCTGAATTACACAGACACTACATGGTTAAAATGTAAACAATGATTACTGATTTAACTAAACTAGGACAATGTAAATAATTTACTTATGTTAATTAAAAAAGAAACGAAATGAATATTTAAAAATGATAATTCAAGAAATTAGTGTAAAATTTTATTTTAAAATATAGTAATAAACACTAGAAGAATCAGCTACAGGCCTTAAAAGTGGTAGCATCTGAGAGAGAAATAGGGGTATAGGGGAGAAAAAGGGTGAAGAATAGTTAATTTGCTTTATTCTAAATTAAAACACAAACAAGAGTTACTAAATTTTGAAAGTACATTGCATTAATAAAAAAATTAACTGGGGCCGGGTGCAGTGGCTTACACCTGTAATCCCAGCACTATGGGAGGCCGAGGTGGGTGGATCACAAGGTCAAGAGACCGAGACCATCCTGGCCAACACAGTGAAATCTCTCCATACTAAAAATACAAAAATTAGCTGGGCGTGGTATTGCACCTGTAGTCCCAGCTACTCGGGAGGCTGAGGCAGGAGAATTGCTTGAACCCGGGAGGTAGAAGTTGCAGTGAGTTGAGATCACGCCACTGCACTCCAGCCTGGTGACAGAGT